AAAAAAAATTTTAGACAGTACAAGTCAGATGAAGTTCTAATCTCCATAATCTACAAGAAAACCCAACACCTGTACAACAAAAGACAATCCAATTAAAAAATGGGCAAAGGAAATGAACAGACACTTCACCAAAGAAGACATTCAAGTGGCCAACAGACACATGAGGAAATGCTCACGAACACTAGCCATAAGAGAAATGTAAATAAAACCAAAATGATATACCATCTCACCCCAGCATTACTGGCACGAATCAAAAACACTGGAAATAACAAACGCTGGAGGGGCTGTAGGGAGATTGGAACTCTTATGCACTGCTGGTGGGAATGCAAAATGATACAGCCATTTTGGAAAATGATATGGCTCTTCCTTAGAAAGCTAGAAATAGAAATGCCATACTATACAGCAATCCCACTCCTAGGAATATATCCTAGAGAAATAAGAGTCATCACTGAATATACATATGAACACCTATGTTCATGGCAGCATTGTTCACAAGAGCAAAAAGATGGAAACAACCTAGATGCCCATCAACAGATGAATGGGTAAACAAACTATGGTATATACACACAGCGGAGTACTGTGCAATGAAAAGAGCAACGATAAATCAGTGCAGCATCTCATTAAATGGATGAAACTGGAGAATGTTATACCAAGTGAAATAAGTCAATCACAAAGGACAAATATTGCATGAGACCTCTAGTGTAAATACCCATGAAAAAGTTTACACACAGAAAGTAACAATCTTTGTTGGTTACCAGGGATGGGAGGGGTGGGGGGGAATACTAAATAGGCAACAGATAAGTAGCATCTTTGGTGAAGGGTGAGACAGTACACTACATGGGGGAAACCAAGGAAAGGTCATGGAAGCTCCATAGACACATCCAAACTCCCTGAGAGACTGAATTGCTGGGTGGAGGGCTTGGGTACCATAGTCTCGGGGAACATCTAGCTCAATCGGCATAAGACAGTTTATAAAGACAATGTTCTACATTCTACCTTGGTGAGTATCATCTGGGGTCATAAAAGCCTGTTAGCAGCCATCGAAGATACTCCACTGGTCTCACCCCTTAGGCAGCAAGGGAGAATGAAGAGAACAGGATACAAGGAAAAGATTAGTTGAAGGGACTAATGGACCACAGCTACCAAGGCCTCCACCAGACTGAGTCCAGTACAGCTAGATGGTGCCTGGCTACCACCACTGACTGCTCTGACTGGGATCAGAACAGTGGGTTGGGACAGAGCTGGAGAAGGAAGTAGCACAAAATTCTAACATACACACACAAAAAGACAAGATTTACTGGCCTAAAGGAGACTGGAGAGACCCCGAGAGTATGGTCCCCAGACACCCTTTTAGCTCAGTGGTGAAGTCACTTCCAAGGTTCACCTTTCAGCCGGGGACTGCACACCCCATAAAATAAGACATGACTAATGAGTCACAGCAGTCCATGGACAAGGACTAGAAGGCACAAGGGGACAGGAAGGCTGGTGATAGGCAACCCAAGTTTGAGTAAGGACAGTGTAGTGGGGTTGTTAACCATTGTCATATGGCAACACGTGTAGTAACTGTTTAATGAGAAACTATTTTGTTCTGTAAACCTTCATCTGAAGTGAGAATAGCAGCAAAATTGAAAGAGCATAGTCGATGTCACTGAACTGTGCATGTAGAAATTTTTGAAATGATGTATCTTTGGCTATGTATATTTTCACCGAAAAAAAAAAAAAATGTCGAGAACGGAGAGGGTTGACACGTCGTGGGGTTGTTAACCAATGTCATAAAACAGTATGTGTAGTACTGTTTGATGAGAAACTATTTGTTCAGTAAACCTTCACCTGAAGTACAAAAAAAAAAAAGAAAGAATGAAATGGAACAAATACACACAAATAGTATCTGATTTGTCTTATAATTACACATAGAGGAACAATTCTGAGTGACTGGAAAGTTAGGAATATGACTTTACATCTTCAGTGGAATCAAAATTGTGAATAAATAGACTGCAAAGAGATATTTTAAAAATCTTTCAGTAATTATATTTTTGGTGACAGTGTTGGTATTATTATTTTCAGACTGCTGTATAAGATGAGGGAAAGAATAGGAGTGAATGTGTAATATTCTAAATCTATTATCCTTTATGTCCTTTTAAAATCAGGAAAATAAAAGGAATAAGTGAAGCATTTATACTGTCTTTCCAATACAAATCATGTCACCATATAACCAAATAAGAGATGATGGGAAGTCTCTTTTATACTCGTTTTTCAAGCTAATAAATGAAGAATGGTAAAGTTAGGATATTGTCACTCTGCAACCTCCCAGTGAATTAATAGATCTAGATGTTGGGCATCAACAGTTTCTACCATGATGATAATAAAAAGAGACATTTCAGGAATTACATATCTCTATATGAAAGAATTTGCCATTATCTCTGAAGTAGTCTTCCTCACCAACTCCTGCAAAAAACAGAACTGAATATTACCAATCTTATTGTTGTAGCAACTAGTTTATTATATACATATATATATGGGACTGTGAAATCAAACCAAACAAAAAATAACTTAAAATACCCCTCCAAACTGAATGTTTCAGAGAAGAATGGTATGTTAGCTAAGTGAAATAGCCTGAAACCAAAAAGCAAATTAGTTTCCATCAAGTCAATTCTGATTCATGGCAACCCCACAGTTGCTGAGTAGAACTGTACTTCATACGGTTTTCAAAGCTATGATCTTTCCAAAGCAGATCTTAGACCTTTCTAAAGAGGTACCTCTGGGTGGGTTCGAACCACCAACCTTTCAGCTAGTAGCAGAGTGCTTAACCATTTGTGCCACCCAGGACTCATGAAAGGGTGTCAAGGCCCGTATAAATTACTATTAAGTTTATGAAGCAAAAGTAAATGTTGTCAATTAATATATAGAGGACTAGTTTGAGAGATAGGATACAAAATTGCGTAGAATTTACGGCACAGTGGTTAAGTGTTCAGCTGCTAACCAAAAGGTAGGCAATTTGAATCCACCAGCCACTGCTTGGAAATCTTATGGGGCATTTCCACTCTGTCTGATGGGGCGCTATGAGTTGGAATTTACTTAAAGGCAACAGACTTTTTACTGGTTTTATATTTCAGTTGGATAAAGTATTAAACAAAAGATAAAAATCCACATAAACAGAAGAAATTAACACTCATGAGCTCTATGCATGTCTGAGATTATGAATAAAATTAAATTCAAGACAAAAGTAAAAGTAAATATTAACACTAACATGAGAATAAAAAATAATAAGAAACTTGAATTATAAATAAACTAAGACTATTTATTTAAACCAAGGTCAGGATTGAAGCCCTGGTCAGTGGCTTATGTCCCAAGATGTCTATTCCACTAACATATCCTACACATGCCACGTTGTGTCCCTCTGGCATTGACTTTAACATGGCTTTGCATTGCACAAAACCTTCCACTTGCTCCATGTTGTTTCCTGGATGTGGTCAAAATTCCTTTACATGGAGCTCTAAGCTCTCCAATATCTGATACCCAAATAATGCAAATATTTTATAAAATTTTATGTTTGGACAGAATGGAAAGAGCATAGGGTCAAGAGTCAAATGACTGGGATTCTAAACTCAGTTCTTCCACTTATTTGCTGTAGACAGATCATGAGCACATCTTTTAGCCTCTTTATATTCTCATTTGCCTTCCAGGAATAGCAATACTTGCCTTCCCTAATTATGGAGTTGTCTTAGGAGTTGTGATGGTTTGAATTATGTCCCCTGAAATGTATATTGAAATCATAATCCTAGTAACTTGTAAATATGATCCTGTTTGGAGAGAGGGGCTTTCATTTGTTATGCTAACAATGTCATAGTACAGGCCGGTGGTCCCTATACCTAAGCACTTCTGACTTATACAAATAGCAGAGTAGACATAGAGACACACATTCACGGTAATGACAGGTGCCAAGGAAAGCCAAAGAAAGCCAAGGAATGCCAAGGATTGCTGGCAGATACTAGAAACCAAGACAGAGGCTAATGGAAGGAATCTACATGGCTGAACTCGGATTTGGATTTTTAGCCTACAGAACTACAGGGCTTTGAATCTCTTCATTCTGGTTTGAACCCCTGCTGATAATTTACGTTTCTAACAACTGTCCTAAGATGCTAACACTGCTGTTGAGGGGCCAATTCTGAGAATCAGTAGTAGAGTAGTGGTTCTCAAAATTTATTTACATAACTATCAGCGGGGTCTTGTTAAAATGTAGATTCTGATTCAGTGTATCTGGGGTGGTAATGGAAAAAAATATCCTGCAGAACTGAGAGAAAATAAATTTTATTTCCTCAAAGCCAAAAATAAAATGAAACAAGGTAAATAAAAGAAGAAACACGTCGTAATTGGTCTTTGTAGCTGCCCTCTCTGGGTTTTCGCTTGCTTGCTCATCTGATACTATTTGGGCTTTGACCAAGTGACCACAAGCAACCCTTTCAAGGCCCATATAGTAGAAGAATCATAGAAGAGATGGGAGTAACTATGATAAAATGGTTCCAGCTGTTAAACACAAGAAGCAAACTCGTGGTTGTCTCTATACATCTATATGTGTATATGTATTTATATTTAAAATAAAAAATGTAAAAAATGTATTAAAAAGCACAAGATGATGTAAAATAATTTGTACAATTTCTAGCACACAGTTAAAAACAAAAAAACAAAAATTAGTTGTCATGCACTCGATTCTGACTCATGGTGAATCCACGAGTGTCAGAGTAGAATTGTGCTCCATGAGGTTTTCAAGAATGTGACCTTTCAGAAGCAGATTGGCAGGGCTTCTTCTGATATGCCTTTGGCTGGGTTTGAACCACCAACCTTGCAGTTAATAGTTCAGTGCTTAACCATTGCAATACCCAAGGACTCAAAACACTCCCCATCTCTTATATACATCCCAGAACCTCTGCAGCACCCTCACTACTCCTCAAGCTCACACTATCCCCTACCTGTAACCACCTTCCAAGGTCATTAGGTTTTACCTGTGTCCACGATGTCAACTTCTTTTTGCTAAAATGGTCGAGCTTTTGCAAAAACCAGTCAGGAGTAGCACCATTCTCTTTCCTCGTTACATTACCCCGAGTTTGTCTCTGGAGGAAACTCTGAGCACAGGAACAGAAGAGCAGCAGCAGCAGGGACAGCTGCAACCACTCAAGAGATCGGGCCATGGTTGTCTTGTGGGAAGCAGTTTCCACAGTTTGGGCTATTTCTACTGAAATTGTCCCCACCCTGGTGCCAGACTGACAGGCATCAGTACTGGATCTCAGCCCCTGGGGCTGCATGACGTTATCTCCACCTAGAAACTTAAGTGTCACCATCTGCCCTACCTCCTGAGACTATGTGGACATTTGAGTACAAAAGGTCAAAAAGGACGGGGAAAAGATGCCTGGTAGTGGCTTTCTACTCCACCTGCTTGAGTGGAAATCATGGGATCCTGATTACCAGGACTGCATGAACCACCAAACATGGGAGCCCAGGATAAGAGTGGGAGAGGCTGGGAAATTCATCCTCTTTTGAATGATTTTCTTGTATTTGCTTTCTGGCCTTTTGTAGGGTCTTCCAGTAGGACTCCAAGACCACACACAGAATGACAGGAAAAAAAAACAACAAACAACAACAAAATAAATGAATGTCCAGATTCCAATTGGTGCTGTGTCTCTGTGCAGAAACCCAACAGTTTGAACCTCTTGTCTCACTTTCATACTCCTAGTACCTCTAAATCTCTCAATGTAGAACTGGCCCTGCTATTGCTCTCTAATCCTAATCTTCATCACCACCACCATCAGCACCCCTTTTTCAATGTAACCACCATGATAAACATGTTCTGAGTTGCCCAAACCCACTGGCCTCCTAGAGAGATAAGGAGTCATCATAGCTTCTCTCCCTGAAATGTCTTGTAGTAGAGTTAAGATGGCAACATCTACAGAAGAAAGAGAGAGAAAGAGAAAGGCATACAAAGAATGATCTGGGAGGGTTTTACTTCAACATGTATCTATGTCTATATGGAACTGGACTGTTTTAAATGGTGCAAGGATTCCCATGGAGGGGCCCATGGAGGTGGTGCTGCAAGAACTTAATGACATTCTTTTCATGCCTAGCTCCCAAAGACCAATTAATACCACTGGTTTGGAGGCCAAACTGCCTGGATTTGAAGCTCCAACTCATGATGATCTTATGTATAAGAGAATAAAACATTGCTCAGCTCTGTTGCATCCTCACAAACTTTGGTATGTTTCAGTCCATTGTTGAAGCCACTTGTCACTCCATCTCATGGAGTTTCCCTCATTTTTGTTGACCCTCTACTCTACCAAGCATGATGTCCTTTTACAGTGATTGATGTTCTTAATGACATATCCAAAGTAAGCTTGACAACGTCTTGTCGTCCTCCGTTATTTCTAAGAAGGATTCTAGCTCTACTTTACACAGGTATAACTGGGAGATACTGTGGATTTGGCTCCACAGTGATACAATCAAGGGAGACACTTGGAAATTTTTGGCTTTGCAGTGCCTATAAAAGTTATGTCTATACTATACTGTAGTCTATTAGGAGCCCTGGAAGAGCAGTGGTTAAGAGCTCAACAACTAACCAAAAAATTGACAGCTCTTATCCAACAGCTACTCCTTGGAAATTCTATGGGGCAGTTCTACTCTCTTCTATAAGGTCACTGTGAGTCAGAATGGATTCAATGGCAACAGTTTTGTTTGGTTTCTAGTAGTCATTTAAGTGTGAAATAGAATTACCTCATAAAAGAAACAACATAATACCTTAATTAAAAAATATTTTATTGCTAAAAAATGCTAAACACCATTTGAGCCTTCAGTGAGTCGTTATCTTTTCACTGGTGGAGGGTATTCCCTTGATGTTGATGGTTACTGATTGATCAGGGTGGTGGCTGTTGAAGGTTGGGGTGGCTGTGGCAATTTCTTAAAATAAGACAACAGCAAAGTTTGCCACATTGATTGATACGTCCTTTCACGAAACATTTCCTTGTAGCATGTGATGCTATTTGATAGTATTTTATGACAGTAAAACTTCTTTCAAAATTGGAGTCAAATGCACTTCTGACAACATGGCGCTCTAGGCAGAAGCACCATGCCGTCCCTCCACAGCAAAGATCTGAAAAACTAAGCCAAACAGAGAAAACAGCAATCCTGAAATCCTAAACATCAAATGAAGAGATAAAGAACTCAGCCAAGCACCATATGGAATAAGAAACTGACAGAGAATAGAAAGCAAGGAGACATCCATGGAGAGGTGCCCTATCAGCTAATGCAGCATGGATCCACTATCTTGGACTCCTATCAGAGACCAGTAAATAGGGGGTACGAGAAAGCAGCTTCACGGAGCTTCTAGCGGGAGACAGAACAACCGGTAAACCGATATACACTTTCCCGCCCCCACCTTTCTTCACCCCCACTCAGCCTCCTCTGCTTGCCACGGCCACAGTCTCTTGGCCAGGGAGCACTGGCTGCTTGGATTCCACCCATCCACATTGGCTGACTCCCTGAGTGCCATTTGTTGGCTGCTGGGGTTGCTTTTTTCTGCTTCTTTTGATTTCTTCCTTACCTCTCACCACCTCCCCCTCCTTTTGCTCAAATACCTGGCTCCGTGTGCCATCTTTGCTTCTTCCTGAGGGGTTGTGGTCCTCCATTCGAGTGTGAAACTGCTTCCTGGTCCATGCTGCCACGCTGGTGGGATCCCGGGACTTTTGTCTGTTTGTTTGTTTTCAACTGTTTGTTTGTTTTCTTTTTCTTTTCTTGAGTTGGGAACCCATTCTGGCCGGGCGGTCCTGTGCGGCTTAGGACCTACCCCCTCAGCTTGCACGGACTCACAGAGGGATACCTGAGGGCATTTCTTTTTTCATTGTTTTTTTTTCCTGTTTTTTTGGGAGGGGGTTGCCTGTTCTTTTTTTTTTTTAACTTGTTTTGTTTTCCTTTCCCTCTTTTTCCCTTTGTGTCTTTCTTCATTACTCAGTTACTTGTCTCTCTATACCTTCCTTCACTTCCTGTCCCCTGGATACTTGGCACTGAATACCTCTACACCTCCTAGCCAGGCTGTACTTCAACACCTGGGAACAGCTTCCCCAGACCTTCTAGCCACACCAGTGAGATCCCTGGGAGTTTTGCTGTTCTTTTTTGTTTCTAATTTTTATTTATTCATTCTTTTTTTTTTTTTTCTTCCTCTTCCCCTTTTTGTTTTTCTCCATTTCATAGTCTCTCATCTCTCCACTCCAACGGCAAGCTCCCCTAGCATTCTTTTTTTGTTTGTATGTTTTTGGCTCCTGTTCCTCTATCCTCTCTCCCATACCCATCTTAGCTCCACACATCAAAATCTCCCCCCTCCATCCTGCCTACCTGCACTGTGCGCTTAACACCACAACACCAAGCAGCACAGGCGCAACCTACCGGAAACTGCCCTGCACTGATTACCAACCTGCCCTGGTGGCTGTAGTAAGTAGCACAAACAACCCATCCCAGCAACTCCTCTTAAGATAGACCTGCCCTGCTGTACAATATCTGAGAGACTGACCCTGCCAACTGGAGGAAGAAACGAAAAGTATCATGCCCACCGATGAGCAAACAACAAAGAACACACAGCCTGCCTGCTCATACATAGACAAATTTTTTTAAAAAGGACAAAACAAACAAATCTACAATCAATAAATGAGAAAAATAACTACTGAATGCCCCGAAGATGGTAGACAATATCAAAACATTTATAAAAACTGGAAAGTATGGTTCCAGTAGGCATCCAAAATAAGACACCAGATGACTTTCCAGTAGAAGAAAAGGCACTAAAACTACCTGATAGGGAATTCAAA